TGATCTTTTCAATTATGCAGATGTCAGATTAGGTTGTTATTGAGCATCAAGGTGAACGGGTCGATCTGCAAACAAACAAACTCTTTCAACACAGACGACTGTAGCTGTGCGTCACAGCTGCACGCCAGCCAGCGGATTGCATTATCCAAACCATCTGCAGTGTAATCGTTACAATCATTTAGGATATTTACTGAGATCAGAGTGTGCCATTGTAATTTGGAGAGCTCTCACCAGTGAAAACCTTGAATGCCTTGCAATTAACTCATTAGTGTTGCCACTATCAAGACAGAGCCATCGAGAAAGCGCGCTGTGGTGACGCACGCCGAGTAAACGTTCGCCTGCATGTTCGCCTGCATGTCAGCTCACATGTGGGAGAAAATGTGGCACGCGTGTCTGAATGTGTCCGCAGATGCTGGCTGCTAAGAAGATCAGGACTGGACCTGATCGTCATTCTCCACTAAAATACACAATCACAGTCATAGCAACACAAAACCAATCAAAGATGATTGTTTGCATATCTGTTATAGCTGCAGACTAGAAATTTGAACTTGATACCAAAGAAAATGCTCAGTACAATTACCACAGAAGATTAAGCTCAGGGGTAGAGCAGGGCGATATGCCAAAAATATTTATCACGATATATATTTGAAAATTTGCGATAACGATATAACTGACGATATAATTGATGCGAGACAAAAGACAACTCCACAACATTACTAGCGCAAAAAGACAACCTTCCATTTATTTTCACTTAAACAAGCAGCTGTTTTTTATGTACATTAAAGCTTTATAAAAACGTAACAGTGCAAATGCAAATTCCTTGCTGAAAGTTTAACCAAAGGGCATTTCCAGTAGAAATGGGCTGACATATCCTGAGCATAACCATGTATAATATCTACTGAAGTTAAAAAGAGGTGCTTTGCAATATTAAACTGCAGTGTGCAGTACGCATTTTTCGGACCATAAGGTGCACGGGATTATAAGGCACATTAAGCGAAACAAAGCAGTCAGATAAATCAAACTTTATTAAACTCATTCTTCTTGCTTCCTCCACTTCTGTACCATTGATTCATTAATGTTGAATTCTCTGCAGCTGCTCTATTCCCATGTTGTTGCAGTATATTAATGACTAACCTCGTATTGTGGATGGATTATCTCAGTTGTTCTCCTGACTGAAGTTTGGTCCGTTTACAGCATCCTGCCATGCGATTGCATTTGTCTCTAACCATGAAGAACCTTCACGTTAACTTTTATAAGTGGAAAAGTGTTAGTGTTCGTCCTCCAGCTTCACTGTTTATGTTATGCTAACATAGCTGTGTCGCTAGCGATCACGTAGCACATCATTATATACCAGCTAGCCCAACTTCAGTAACCCTACAAACGTCACTGCTGTTTAGTTTCCTGTCTTCATTTATGTTGGAAGTGATAGCAGAGCTGTACGTTTGAATTTTTTCAGAAATCTCTCAGTCAGAACATGCTACATCATGCTTAGGTAACTAGCGAAACTAGCGAGCTAACTTCTGCTAGCTTCCTGCTAACTTCTAACTCCGTTAAATGTAATAACTTTTGTTTTCATGGATGCCTGGAAGTTAAACTTCATAGTTACACCTGGTAAAGCAGCAATGCTGATCGTTTTATTAAAGATGAAAGAATTTAGACAGTTTTTAACTCGGCACAGTCATGCTAAAATAAAGAAGTTCAGTATGAAACACTGAACCAGTCTAACCTCACAGCCGGCTGCAACAAAAGAAGAAACACTTGATTGCACAAACAGGAAAGTTAAAGTTAAACATCTGCAGCTCTTTACACCCTCAGCCCTGAACTGATTCTGCTGCTCTGAATTTCACTCTTTGTTCCCTCAGATTACTTCTCCACACTGGTAATCTGGAGTAATCTGCTCTGCATGGCTGTTCAGCCTGCAAATATTATTCACCTTTTATTTAACTAAAGTGCACAAGCTGCTATGTCAACTATAAGAGATTACAACTGTGGCTGTAAATAATTACTAATAGCTAACTGCTAACATTTACATTGCACATGTTAACTTCAGTGTTATTGAAACAGGAGCTTTACTGATTTCTGGCATCCCTCCTAAAGCACTGATCAGCGTTATGAATGTTAACTACTTCAGCTGTGAGTGAGGGAGGAGCTGTGTGAACATACAGCACTGTCGGCATCCATACTGCTGTAAATGAGTATCTTCCTTTGATATTAATATCTGAGTATTTTTTATAGACAACCATAATAGCAACAACAGGAAAGGACATGAAACAGTTACAACACCCTCCCAAAACAGGCTGTGAGAGCTGCACAAATGATCTCAAAGTAACAGACTGAAGAGCTCGCCAGCTGAGCATTACATTTCTCGCAGTGTACCATATAAAATAAAAGCATAACATATATAACATATTTTTGACATTGCCAAAGGAAGCTATGCACATGTATTACTGAAGAGACCCTATTACTGAATATTTGCTGCCATTTACGTTGGCACCAGCTCTGCTCAAGAGTGTGTGTGTGTGTGCGTGCGCGCTCGTCTCCAAACAGCAGCAAAGGAGAAAACCGTGAAATGACATTACTCAAATGGAAGGCAACTCGTTATGTTCATTTAAGTGCAATAAAAGCTTCTCATCAGGTGTTAATCCATTTATTACAAGATGCAAGATGGACAAATGACTCCTTTACTCTGAAAAAACACTAGCAGAGAAAAAAGTTACAGCATTTAGACTTCAGCAAATCCCCCTAAAACTAGGCAGGTATGAGGCAATAAGAAGAAAAACAATGTGATGTAAGTGATGTAATGCAGTTTGCTTATGTGATATCCACATGTGTGCAATGCACAGATTTTTGACCAACAGGTCAAAGTTGAAACACTGTTACTGCACAGTGTACATTTAAACAAACTGTGTGTATATGAAACAAAGTGTGTGTATATGAAACAAACTGTGTGCATATGAAACAAACTGTGTGCATATGAAACAAACTGTGTGCATATGAAACAAACTGTGTGCATATGAAACTGTGTGCATAGGAAACAAACTGTGTGTATATGAAACAAACTGTGTGCATATGAAACAAAGTGTGTGCATATGAAACAAACTGTGTGCATATGAAACAAACTGTGTGCATATGAAACTGTGTGTATATGAAACAAACTGTGTGTATATGAAACAAAGTGTGTGTATATGAAACAAACTGTGTGCATATGAAACAAACTGTGTGCATATGAAACAAACTGTGTGTATATGAAACTGTGTGTATATGAAACAAACTGTGTGTATATGAAACAAACTGTGTGTATATGAAACAAAGTGTGTGTATATGAAACAAACTGTGTGCATATGAAACAAACTGTGTGTATATGAAACTGTGTGTATATGAAACAAACTGTGTGTATATGAAACAAAGTGTGTGTATATGAAACAAAGTGTGTGTATATGAAACTGTGTATATGAAACTGTGTGCATATGAAACAAACTGTGTGCATATGAAACAAACTGTGTGTATATGAAACTGTGTGTATATGAAACAAACTGTGTGTATATGAAACTGTGTGTATATGAAACAAACTGTGTGTATATGAAACAAAGTGTGTGCATATGAAACAAACTGTGTGTATATGAAACAAACTGTGTGTATATGAAACAAACTGTGTGCATATGAAACAAACTGTGTGTATATGAACAAACTGTGTGTATATGAAACAAAGTGTGTGTATATGAAACAAACTGTGTGTATATGAAACAAACTGTGTGTATATGAAACAAAGTCTGTGTATATGAAACAAACTGTGTGCATATGAAACAAACTGTGTGCATATGAAACAAACTGTGTGCATATGAAACAAACTGTGTGCATATGAAACAAACTGTGTGTATATGAAACAAACTGTGTGTATATGAAACAAACTCTGTGCATATGAAACAAACTGTGTGTAGGTTCTCCCTCGTGAAGCTCAGAAACACACTCTTGCATATTCAGCTCGACGCTGCTCTGTGTGTGTGACAGTGCTGTAAACTACGCTCCTGCATCAGGGTGCCACAAATATTCACTGATGACCTCGTCACCTTGCTACACACAAAAACATGTTCTGAGTCATACATTAAACTACACCCACACCTCACAGGAGCTAGACTTCACTCTTGTAGAGCGTTTGGACTCTTTGATTTAACCATTAGAGGTGCAATGTTTTATCGAGCAACTTCCAAAAATCCTCGATACAAATGATTTACTTTTAAAAATGGGCCGTCCCACTTTTCTCACCAAAAAGGGGCACATCGGTCAGACTCAGTCATATTTATTTCATGGCTTTAGTAACATTATGTTACAGATTTAGATCAATAAATTACATTGTATCAATTAAACTGTATTAATATTTTAAAATATAAAAGCTTTTTCCCCACCGCACAGATCAGTAAAATGTACACGTGCCAGTAAAACTCTGAGCATCTGACAGCTGGACGCTGAATTAGCATTAATTATCAAAATCGACACCATCAGAGGATCCATTTTCTGCTCAACAAGCATCAGTTTAAAGCACAGGACGAACCTCAGTCCTTAAAATGTCGATATGCTTTTTGCGTCCCAACTCTGCATGTATGCCATGTGATTTTTTCCTTTATAAAGTGCTTTCCACCAAAGTGTTCTAATATAGCAGCTATGCCATTTTTACAGACGTGTGAATTCCCATTAGACCTTTGGGCACTGCGCTTGGCCTTTTACTTTCAGATTGACTCGTTGGTCGGTTTATGTAATAAGAATAACTTGGTTAGTGTTAGGAACAGACTGTGGTTTTGGTTCAAATGCCACAGTGTAACAAAAGCTGCTCCATTAAGCCCACAGCCAGTCATCTCCAGAGCCTGTAAACAACCAGTTGTTAAGTGAAGTACTCATTTAATTTAAACTAAAGGAAACTAAAACTAAACAAGCATTTATAAGAAAACAGTTTTTAATGATGGTCCTTCTACTCTTACTGGTTTCTTTGGTTTTTCATAACTCACCATCGTGTGTTTCTTGTTCAGGTGCTTCTTCTTTTTCCCTTGCGAGTGAGCCAAGCGGGGGTTGTTCTCCTGGTCTGAGGACTGGTGGTGGAAATTGTTCCTGCAGGGCTCCAGGCTCAGGCCATTGGGAACCCTAGAAGGGGTTTTCTTATGCAGGGATCCTGCCTGGTTGTCTCTGCCTTCCTGAGGCTTTAGCGTCATGTTCTTCTAGGAAGAAAACAGAACAAGACAAAGCTTTTATTAGAGTCAAAACAAGTATTTCATCTTCGTGCAAGCAATGTACTACAGACTGTATCAGCCAGACAACTGGCCTGTAAGAAGCCTGCAGTCACACCAACAATCAGCAGTTAAATGTGTGTTTGACTGAATTTTTATATCTATGAAAAGCTGCTCATTACACACTGCAGAGCTCAAAAACAGCTGAATACCTTTTCACAAAAGCCCATTTTGACAGATAGCAAATCTCCTCTACAATAAGCAGAGAGTATTTGCTCTAAATTGAAGGGCTATCATGCAGAAAGGCTTCGATGTTCCATCACTAAATTTTCTCCAACAAAGAATAAAAGAACAAGGTCACTGACAGTTTTTTTCCTTTTCTCAAAGAACACAGTGGAGGTTCCAGCAAATGCCAGGTGGATTTAAACCATGGATGTGACACTTTAGTGCTACATCTCACGCAACGCTACACAACCTTTTGTTTCAGTCACTGTAGCGGCCACAACCACAAAGTCCATGTTGACATATTTTAAATGGATTAATTTTTTTAAATTTATTATATTTTCAGCTCATTCTCTTCGATCCTTTTTCCCTCCCACCTGTCAGCTCAGACATTACCATGTATGTGCACATGGACTGTAATAACACAAGTCACACGAATGGAAACCAACAAATACACTGAAAAAGAGCCTCTAGTATATTTATAGAGCTCATGTTGGAAAGGAAAGGTGTCTGGAGCAACATCGCATTCAGATCACAGATTACAGAAGACAAGACGAGCTTTTCAAGGGATTTTTAAGTGTTTCTTCCTGTGTAGTCACTGAGTGGACAGACTGTAATTGCTTTGATTAACAGGCTTCTTATCGTGAAGGTGAAAGGTCACGGGAGTGAACCCTCTCTGTGGAACATGACTTGAACAGATATTCATAGCTACTGGATGACCTGCTAATGAAAGGTGACTCATTATTCCTCCGTGAGGCTGATAAATAAATGAAACACATATATTCATGGTCCAAGGATGAACTGCGATGACTTTACTGTTCTTCTTAATTCTCATGTGAAAACCTGATCATCCACTTCAAAATTAGCTGACATGCTCATAGAGCAACTGTAAAAACATGACCTCACTATGTTAGCATGCTGACATTAGCATGAACCTACACACTGCTCACGCTTTCTCTCTCACTCATGCATCAGTTGTGTTTGGAGGACTTTGATGTCACAGTGAGGTAAAGTAAGCAGGACTGATTGCAAAATGGTTTTAAATCAAATCTGATGGACAGAAAACAGGAGCGTGTAGCTGAGGGGCACACAGCGGCGCTAACAACAGAAACCCTGAACATTTAAGTCCATTTTGTCTTCTGTCAACATGAAACTATACAGGAGAACATTTGTCTTCATGGACAAACTGGATACTGAAAACAAAGCAATAAGATGAGTTACACAACTTGCAACTGCAATATGGGAGTTACAGAGTCTGAAAGCGCTCATCAGCACTAATAGGCTGCAGCTGAAGGGGCTGTGCAATGTATTACAGCCTCTACTGTAAAAGTTATCGAGCAAATCAGCTTTGTTATCTGAAGTGGTGACCTATTTTACTCTTTTTGTTAGAGCCATTGCTGTTAACAGCCCCAGGGAGACGTTTAAGCAGATGAAGTGGCTATCAGCATGGAAGTGCAAAGCTGCCGCAGCTACACTGATAACATGTCAATAGTCTACAACACTGAGGCTGGAGAGACCAGCTCTAATGCAGTGTGCATTTGTAGCACCGAGACATGATGCAAGTGTACACGTTATGTTTTGGTTTTTTATGGAATTACAGGAATTTTATATTTACGGGCTTGAAACTACTGGACTGATTAAATGCATCAATATTGTAAAGGCCTTTGCACACTGAGCGTGCTCTGATTGGTCGAATCTGGAAAATGGAAAAAAGAAAATAAATATAGTTGTTGCAAATTCTGTGTTAACCTAATAATTTTAATCATTCTGTGACATGTAAGCATTTAGATTTTAAAAAAGAGTAACTATACAAGTAGTATAGCTGATTCAAACCTGTGTGGGTCGTAGTTATTACTGCTGCCCTCTGTCTTTCTAGTTTGAATAAAGCCTCTTAATCCATCAACATCTTTTAGGATGAGTTGTATTTGTTCAGCACCGCTCAGTGTAGACTCTCAGTCCAACAAACCCCAACTCGGTCTAGGATTTAACCCACAGCCCACAGAAACCAAAGTGAGCTTCACAGCTGGCGTACAGTGCATATAAGGAATGAAATGGAGGCAGATTTTCCAGCACACACTGGTTAGGGGGGGGAAATCCAGCCCGTCTCAAGCAGCAGCTCTTCAGATGGACCACCTCGAAGCAACCTTAGCGTGCCGGCAGAGAATTACTCCAGCAGTTTCAGAGATATCCACTGCTGTCAGAAATGAGCTTGATGGGTGTGCTACTGGCACTGACTCACTAAACCATTTCTAAAGGCCTCACAGAAAAACAAGTGCATGCATCAACTAATCTTGTTTGCCTTTCCCGCCCACACTCATCCAAGGCAAATAATGTAACATGACATGTATTGTCAGCGCACAGAATAAGTGACAAAGTTATGATGAGGCTGAGAGACCTTCCATTGTGCCAGTCTTCTGCGTGCTTCTGAGCATTTAAACCAACTGATTGCCTGGAATAAATTATGCACAATATGTCTTGCCTGCTCACTGAACAATAGCAAGACAAATTCCTTATTTCACTGCCTTACGATGACACTGAAAGCAAAGTAATTGCTCAGCATGGCTCAGTCTGCACTAGCTTTCATTACTACGATTGTCTGTCTGTGTACAAACTAATTACAATGTGGCATTTAGTCACAATGCATATCTGCAGGTGTCCACGTGAGGGTTTGCCACAGGTTAATTCACTTTCAAGCCACATATTTCTGTGTGAATAACATTCAAGGCAAAGTATGTGTTTGTATCTACAACCCAAAACCCAAAGGTAAAAAAGAAAAGTGGTGCAGGGCTCAAGAGGGACACATCTGACACATGCTTCAACTATTATAGACCAACAAGTCATTTATAGCAGTTTAAACACGAGCACTCAGTCAAACACCAGTTTGACCCATAATTACCTGGTTCTGCCTCATCCTCACTGGCACCATTTATAGTTACCATTTTTTATTTGAGGTCATTTGTTTGATGCATATTCTGAAATGTGCTGTTTGAGAATAATGTATTTTGTCATCATTTCAGTTTATTTCAAAAAGTCTCAACAGGATCTTCTGTCAGGGTCCTGGGACTGGGCGACCCAGGATCCCTGAGCAGTCATGTATCATATTATTATTATGATTATTATATGTATTTTGGTATTGCTGCTGCTCTCCTCCATGATTGTAGATGTGAGTGTGTGTGTTTATGTCTGCGGGGATGCTTGGAGGATGGAGCTCAGCCACCTGCAGGCCTGAGGGGTGTGGCCCTGCGGAAGGACTGGCCACACCCGAAGCCACACACCTGCCGCTGATCAGGGCTCGTCGGGGGAGCTACTTAGGAGAGTCTTGGAGCTCCCACCGACGCGGGATCATTCCATGAGACTCCACGTTAGTCTTCTGCTTAGCTAAAGTCTGAGTGTATGCCTACTGGAATTAAGTGTCTTGACGACTGCCTCTGTCATTTTCCCCTCAGGAGGAGCGTGGAACCTCAGAGGGCAGCAGGCACGGGGTGTGTGTGGACACACGGCAGTGGAGAACACGGAGCACGGACTTTTGGGAAGACACGACACGGGAGTCACGGGAGAGCACGGGGATTTACTGTTATTGTTTCCATCACTGTAAATAAACGCACTGTTTATACACAGAGTACCGCGCCTGGGTCCTCCTTCCCCACACATCCCCACGGTCTGCCAGCCAGATCGTGACATCTTCAGCTTTATTGTGAAAGGTTTATTTGGAAAATAAACAAGCGGACGAACACGCTGGGTTTACCGTCGTTGTTGCTAATGACAACGTGTAAAAACAGTCACTTGTCCGTCCGTAGTGTGGTCATAGCCGCTACAGTGACCATCAAAACGATATAAAATATTCCTGTAAAGAGTTCATTTTGCGACACCACAAAACAAAAGACAGCGCGATATGAAACGACAGAAGTTTTCATATCGTCATCAGATATCGTCATATCACACAGGTAGCGTACACACAGCATCAGAACAGAACACTGAACACTACCTAGTCTGACGGTCTCCTTTCTTGGTGTAACATCCGGACGGTTGGTTCAGAACTCGGTATTAACAAGAAAGCAATGATTAAGAAATCAACAGGTATAAAACCATCAAACTCTCAAACCTCTGTGCGCTGATGTTAGGGGGTTTTTGTTTTTGACATTTGGATCAAGTCTTTGTCTTTCCATACGAATCCTACAAATCTATATTAAAAATTATAGATGTATATAGATTAGAGTTAAAAATATAGATTCATGGACAATTTTATCCACAATTTAGGCTTCATCCACACGTACACGTGTATTTTTGTAAACAAAGATTTTCCGTTTTCGTTTATAAAAAAAATCCTGTCCACACTTAAAAGCCAAAAATGAAGGAAAACGCTGCTAGTAACATGCCAAAGCAGCAGGTGGCGCTATATTCCTATCCGTGTAGAAATGTTGGCCAATCAGAAGTCAGCCTGGGTGGGAAAGAGTAAACAAAGATGGCGCATAGAAGCAGAACTGAATCGTATGTGTGGAGGGACAGTAACTGTGTGTGTATATGTAAGCATTTAAACACTGCAGAGAGTAAAATTAACAGTATTTTGTCAAAGTCCGCCATTGTAGAAATTAATTTCACCGAAACAATAACGTGGCGCACAGTGTGACGTCAAAAATGTTCTCCGTTTACCTCGTCCACACGTAAACGCAAAAACAGAGTTTTTGAAAATCTCCGTTTTCAGTGACCGAAAACGCCGTTTACGTGTGGACGAAAGGCGCCAACGCATAGAAAAATCTGCGTTTTCAAAA